CTGATCAGTAGATTTTTGCGAAGGAACGCAAAACCTTTTGCGAGGGAACGCAAAAGAAAAAAAAAAATTCCCCATGTCCCCTGGGGGGCTCCGTACTTTTGTACATATAGTTATCAAAAAAAAGAAATCAGAGGAACTCGGGAGATTTTTATACTGCAGTTAAAAAGGAAGTATTTCGCACTGTCGAAGAGAAACGGTGTCTTTGGATATGATGATTTCTTCAGAGATGAGAACAAAGCTGGAGCAGAAACTCTTGAGGTTTATGATATAGTCTCACAAAAGTTGCAACACAATTGATGAAAAACAACTAACTTTGAGCTCCGCAGCACGAGTGTTTTCAGTTTCAGACCCTCTGACTGTTGATATAATGCTGAACACGTGCAAACTCATGCAAAACACATACTTGACGACACAGTGAATGTGTGTGCCCTCCTCCACAGTTAAGCTCTGGAACTGGTGGTTGAGGCTCAGAAACAAATCACTGATGTCTGGGAACTATCCTCATAATCTATGGAAACAGCTTAACCATGTAGTTGTCGCCATGCCAACGTGATCGGATGGCCAAGAAAGCTACAAGTGGATGTCTGTTTGCTTTTTGCTGCTGGCACACTGAAGAAGAAGTACTAACCTGAAGTACAAAGTCAACTTGAATAAAATCACCTAGTTTCTCCTCAATCTTACAGAAGATTTAGCTGAAATGTGGAAATTGGACTTGACATCTAACTGGGCTCCCATCACGGTCGAAACAAAAATAACTTGGCTCGTCTTGCATCCCCTAAAAAAACATTTGTAACAATCTTGCATAACACCAGATGTATGAGAAGTTTAGTTTTATAAGCGGCTCTCATGTTCCCTTTCCCTCATGCAGTTCTGTGTTTAGACTCGGATTCCTTTGGGGGAGCCAACTTGCTTGGCAACTCTCTTCCCTCTCTGCTTATCTCACCAGACAGAGAAGCCTCTGTACCGACGTTTTTCATTTTAATAAGCAGGATCAGTGACTTTCTGCTTCAAGTAGCGCCCTAGGAATTGTACTGCTGATGCCACATGAGGGTTTATTTGATGAAGCACTTCGTAGAGACTACACTTTATGCTTACTGAATCAATGTTTGGCTTAAAGAAACTGCTCTGTGATCAAACTTTCAAAGTAAGGCGCATTAATATGTACTTTTATCTTTTTAAAAGGGAGGTCAGCCTGACGACAGCCTCGGAAATGCACCTCCAAGGTTGAGTCAGAAACTTTTAATAATAATAATTCATATTCCTTCTGCTGCTGTCGTTGTAGTTCAAAGTATAATTTTCTGTGCGTACATCCACGCAGTTACTCCCAGGTGCAATCACAAGCTGAGATCATCACCGAAGAAGACCTGAGACTGATCCAGGAGAGGGAGTCGGCCATCAGGCAGCTGGAGGTAGGATCCGCACACGAAGCGAGCGTGACGCCTCAGCTCTGTGCGTCGGCAGCCAAAGATGCGAACAGCACCTCATTGCCTTGTGTTCTTTGAATTTAGTCCGACATCACAGACATAAATGACATCTTTAAGGATCTGGGCATGATGGTTCATGAGCAGGGAGACATGATAGGTGAGTATCGGGGACTTTTGGTGTCATTTTTCTTTTCTGTTGTAAGGCTAAACCACAAAAGCCCCTTGGTTTGTTGTTTACTCCCAGAAAATGTAATAAAAATTGGCAGATTGCATAGAAATAAGAAGAAAGAAAATACGTACCATAACCTAGTCCCATGGATAATAGTAATTTTCTAGGTGTTGTGGTGGCACAGGGGTAAAAGCACAACCTATACATGGCTATACCTATAAGTAGAAAACTTATTCCCACGCTTTAATCCTTTGCTTCCGGCCGATCCCATCTGGAATTTTTGTACCTGAAAATTTCAGTGTTTCCAGGTAAAAACCCAGTAGGGTTTAGCAAAGCTTGTTATTAAGACTTGTTCACCCAACGCAGAAAACTCTTTGCTGCAGTTATCTAACAGTGATGTTTGGAAAAAGAAACTCTTTCCATTTCCATCATCCCCATTGTTGATGGCTGGCAAAATAAATACGGGTCCTTCAGCATATTGACCTGTGGCTTAAAAAATAGATCTTTGTGTGTTTGTACACAAAGAAACAGAACGTTATGGACTACTAGTTAGACGCTCCTAGAAACTGATCAACTCAAAAAGTAAAATATAAATCAGAAAAGCCTCACTTGCATTTTAAAGGGATTGTTAGGAGTGTCAGTATGTTTGGCTCTGCTAATTTTAAAACTTCCTTCTTCATATTGGAGTTTTTTTTTTATTTAATAAAAATTCTCAAATTGCATCTAGACCAGGTGTCGGCAACCTTTAAAACCCTGGAAGCTATTTTTGTCTTCTATCCAGCTGAACAAAATTAGTTGATAACCAAAAAAGCGACATAATACAAATTAGCTTATTTTTCCACTATCTATTAGAAGATTTCTTTAAATTAAAAAACATTTTTTTTTTTTTTTTTTAAAAAAATTTTAAAACTTTTACACAGAGAATTAATACATTTTCCTCATTTGACTGTTCAGTTTTTAAAAATGGAAAACAGTGTTTAAAAACGCACATAGATTGCACCCAGTAGACAAAAATAGCCATAAATAGAATATTCCCGACAATAATGGCATCATCTTGTATTTCTGTTCAGGCCTCGGATCTAAACAAAGGAACACATGAAGTTACTTTCTTACTGTTCTCCACCACTCTCCTATTGCTTTAGCATCTGGATCACTAAGATCTATATCAGATGGGGGGTGTGGGGGGAACCGTAACAGTTGAAAGTTCATCCAACTCATCAAATATATTATCGGCAAACAAAATGCTGAGATGTTGCATCCAAGCTCTCCTTTGTGATTTCGATTTTGCACACACTGAAATTAGGATTCAATATATTGTGCAAGTCCAACTGATTAAAATGCAAAGACTAAATCTGTGTCATTGCTGATGTGTTGGCAAAGCTGATTTTGTGTGGTTAGCTCACTTGTCTTCTCTACAGTGAGTCTGGGAAATTTGGAGTTGATAAAGCTGGTTTATGGTTTAGGATTATGTCCAGCTCTATTACCTAATATGATGTGAAAACGGTGTAAATATGTGTGCATGTTTTTGTGTTTTGCAGACAGTATAGAAGCTAACGTGGAGAGTGCAGATACCCATGTCCAGTCTGGCCAACAGCAACTTGCAAGAGCTGCAGAATATCAGGTACGGTATAAAACAAGAAGAATGTGCATAACTGAGATAAATAGCTCAGAAGTAGCTTTTAAATATTAGAAACATTAGTTTAAGATCGCTTCTCCCGCCATAACAGGGAAGACCTGTGAAGCAACACCATTAGTCACTGTGATTTCATAAATAACGGCACAGAAAAAAAAGGAAGCTCGCTCACTTCTAAGTACTGTGGATCATCCATCTGCAGGAAAATTTGACTGTTTTCAAGACATTTGGGTAAAATTTGAAATGTTCTTTTGAGTGTTTCACTTATATTGTTTTTGTTTTTTTTAAGTTACTGAACGCTCATGAATACAAACAGGGAATTTCATTGGCTTTTTTTTTAGCCTCTGGATTATTTTAGTTCTGGATTTTAAATTGTTCTTGGAAAAAGGTTTTGAAATTTCAACCTGATCTTGTGAAATTCTAGCATCATTTAGCACAAAGTGATTTAAAGATCTTTGAATTTAAACTCAAATGAACCCGTTTTCTAAATGTGACGGCTCCAAAGTTTTTGTCAGGATGTCGAAAACAAAACCAATCAGCTCTTTAAATCAGCTCTTTAAATTCCCAAATTGCATCTAGACCAGGTGTCGGCAACCTTTAAACCCCTGGAAGCTATTTTTGTCTTCTATCCAGCTGAACAAAATTAGTTGATAACCAAAAAAGCGACATAATACAAATTAGCTTATTTTTCCACTATCTATTAGAAGATTTCTTTAAATTAAAAAACATTTGTCCGATTCACACTGGTTGAATCGGACACAGATTTGAAAAGCAGATGTTAAAAATGTGGAATTTCAAAATAAAGGGTAAAATATGTATCATTTATTTTGATTTAAAAAAAAAAAAAACTACAACAAAAAAACTAGTTTTGATCCATATAATCCCCAAGAAACTTAAATTTTCTTGCTTCCTTTTTTCAGCGGAGCTCCCGGAAGAAGATTTGCATCCTGCTGATAGTGCTGGCCGTTGCTGCTGTCGTTATAGGACTTATTATTTGGGGCTCTCTCAAAAACTAAGCTCTTCCTCTTATTGTTGATGTTGTCAGACTAAATATGAAACACAATCCCTCTCATCCTGAGTTGTCTCTCCATCTTACCCTCTTCGGCCTATTACAAAATCTGTTTGCCTTGTTTTTGACAATGAATAGTTTTATTGTGAAGGGTGGCCTTAAGTGAATCATTTGATTAAGATGGCAGTGTTAATGTTTTATTTTGTTTTTGTTTTTTGTTTTCCTTTTTATTGCTTCACTTAATAAGTGATGCCACAACTATTTTCCTGGTCTTTCCTTCGAATTTAATGATTATATAGGTTATAGATAATGTCTTTATAATAGTAATATGGAGGTAAGTATTGATCATCCTTCTCAGTGCTTCTTCCTGTCAGGTTATAAATGACAATTTCAGAGGAACCAAATTCACATGATCACCTAATACCTGTTATGCTTTAAGTTAGAAATGTGCACAGCAACTGAAATGATTTAGAGAACGCACATTTAGCAGATTGAGCTATATTTAACACATTAAATTAAATTGAAAATGTAACGCCGCCTAACATTCCAGACAACAGAGGTGAGATTTGTTCCTTAGGTTCTTTATTTCAAATCAATAAAATGTATTTAAACAAGTTTTTGTTGGTCAAATAACGTATATACTGTCCATCCTGGACATAATTCCCCTGGTGAGGGCTGAGCAATTCTGAGATGTTTTTTTTTTTTTTTGTGTGTGTGGGGTTTATTTTAACCCACTGACATTTGACACTCCTGTGCACCTTTACAATTTTTTTTTTTTTTTTTTTTTTT